GAGATAGCTTGAAGTGCTCCCTTTCCAGCTTCTACGGCTTGATTAGGCTCCTTGACTTTGCCTATAAATATCATGAGAACTCTGTTATGAACTGAAGTATATATGTTTTACCTTCTGTGGAGTAAATATATGGGAGGTCCAGGACAGATCCAGAATGGCACGACTAGACAAGAAATGTTGGAGCAGTACTAGAAGACTTGAAAGTATACATACATCAAAGATTGCCTATAATTTGTAATGTCAAATAACAGCCTTTATATCATAGCTGTATATTGCACTTACCGTAAGCCTGCAACCAATAGGAAGATTCCTGACCATGATATCGTGCATATCGTCGTCTACCAAATGCCCAGCAGTTTCATGGTCGACAGGATAAATGACTTCGTCATATCCATCGTCTTCATCGCCATCCAAGTCCTAGTGGAAGGCATAAGGATCACTCGAATCTGTATTAAAGACGGCGTTACCTTTGTCTGACCACCGTGACCAGAGAAATGGAACCAGAGCGAATCATTGGAGTGGGCGTCCTTCACGAGCCACTGCATGGCTGCAATCTATTATTGTCACTTGAGAACAATGTACACCTAGTGTCTGACTTTCTCTTACAATATTTGCACGTGTTGGTATTTGACGAGGATGTGTGGCATCATCCAACAACATTACAATATCCTCTGCCCTGAAGCCGAAGCGCCCTTGATGCCCGAGTCAGAAATAGCCTCGAAGTAATTTTTGGCTTACTGATAAGGAATTGCTTCATATTCTTGGCGTCATTGATGCAGCCTCGTAAGGCGGCATCTGTTCCCGCATAGTTGATGCCGATACAGAGCGCCTTCTTACGCCCAGTACATTGAGAGTATTGGTACTGCTGACCGTGTCCTTGGCCACCAGACTGCGGTCCATATTGAGGGGTAGTTGGAGGCATATCTACAAAATTGTTATTCAAATACCCCACTGATCATATTGGGAGAACTGACGAGGAGCGCCCATGGGTGCACTATAGAATGCTCCACCACTTTGATCGCCCACCCAATTACCACCAGGTGCACCTTGATAGCCATTTACACTTGGAGGGGGCATATTGGAATAATGGCTGGGTGCAGCGTGCGTAAATGGTGGAGTATATTGATTATAGTGGTTCGTGGGTGGCGGTCCACTGGGCGGTGGACCCATTCGTGGGTTCCAGGAATAAGTGCCGGAGCTGGCGTTGGAAGCTGAAGCACCTGGATATCCAGGAGTGGCATTATGGCTAGAAGCGTTTGATCCTGGGTATCCGCTACCCCCGTATGGAGGTGCACCTTGGGGGGTGTTAAAAAATCCTGGCTGCGCCTCCTGTTGTTGCGGGGGATACGGAGATTGCCCTGGAGCTCTACAGAGCGCAATCTGTTACAAAGAATGTTCTCTAAAATCTTCAATAAACTACATACCCTGGGAATCTGCAGGATGTAAAATTAGTCACTCTTTGCCACCAAGCACGCCCCTCGAGGCTAGGAATATACGCACGCAAAGCCCCCTCCTTGAGGAGGAGCAGATCCCCAGCCCTGCTGAGGTTGATTTCCAGGATATCCGTTCCACATTTTGGAGAGAGTTTCAAGAGTTTCGAATGGTAGGAGTTCAAGTCAGTTGGCGCCTGTGATCACCGGTCAGAGGGCACTGCTTTGAGGGACGGGATTTCTAGGCCGAGCCATATTTATCTGCTTATGTAATCTGAACTGCTCAAGTTTTACCAGTCACATACATTTATTACAGAAGATATCATTGAAAATGGGCTATTTATCTCCAACAACAGGTCAACCTTTGAGAAGTTCCGACACGAGTCTTCATTCACTGGAGTATCTTCACGGGCGATGAGAACTCAGATGAAAGGAAATAGAGGATACACACCAATGGGTCTTGAGACCTACGCCCCAAGATGCACAAATGGAATCCATGATGTAAGTGCAATCCCTCCTTTCTTGCGAAGCCGTTCTATCGAATAGTGCAGGGCCTCTGCCGCTTTTCTGCTGTCTGGTCTACCTTGATCCGTCATGATGTACCGATAGAACTCGTCCGCTACTTCTGGTGCTAGATCATCTTGAATGGACCACATGGTAGCGACGACACCCCGATATCCGGCGAGTAGCATTCCTCCTGCAATGTGTACTGCTTCGTCTGAGAGCGACTCTTCTCCAGTCGTCGTCTGACAAGCTGATAAGAATGCGAACTCGGCATTAGGAAGATCGAGTTTGATGATTTCTTCGAGCGTCAGGTGACCATCTTCGAGAATAAGCCCGCTTTTTGTCGGTTCATCCTGTCTCTGCGACCCATGACACGCACAATGGAGCCAGTTGCTGTCCATCATTGCTTTCATCACCCGCTCTTTCGTACCTTCTTGATCATTGAGGATGATATGATCTCGGTCACCAAGGCGTTTCTTGATACATTCCAACTCTTCCTTCGTATTCGGGATAGAGGATACTCCAGGAGCCGACGGTTGAATTACCGACAACAGTTTGAATTGTGAATCGGTGACGGGTTCAGTTGATTGGAGCAGAGACGATAGAGTGGGTGTATATGATGATATGACATAGTCGCAAGTATGAGAACCAACGGACTGATCGTCATATACACCCGCGGCATGTATTGGGAGGAATGCCAATGGTCCAGTAGCACACCACCAGATACGCGGAAGCGTATCCGGGTCAGCCTACATGGTACCGTCAGTGGGTGAGATGCAAGAGTTGGAATGTGACCTACCGAGAATGCCAAATGATCCAATACTGGTTTCACTAGACTACTCCAAAGCTCGGCTAGAATTGGCCTACAATCCTGTATTTCGTCATCTCCTTCTCTCATTGCTGCTCGTTCTCCTCTCATTCGCATACCGCTGGAATATAGCATGTCTTTGAATTCATCTCGAAGCTCCGTTACCCGTTTGAACGTGATATTAGGCAGTGGGATATGTATCACCTCATCTAATCCGGGTACAAGGGCAAGAGCATCGCATCTGTCCTCGGCGATATTGAAGACGACGACTGGACCGTTTTGACATGCATCTACCAGTCGGGATACTCTAGGAGGCTTCAAGAAATCTTCGAAACCTGGAAGAGATCGAATTTGTTCGATGATGGACTCCCATTCAGTTGTCAATGCCCGATAGCGTTGCCCTTCCTCTTCGATAGGTCCCACGTTCTCCTTAACCTCGGCTCCGCGATCAAGGAGCTGAGAAACTTGTAGCAAGCGATCTGCAAGCTCTGAATTGGTACTCCGTAACTCATCAACGGGAGTTCGAAGCTGAAGGATTTGATTCCAGACAATTGATCGACCCTGCTCGAGCCACTCTAAAGCTTTGCCATATTGCTCGAGAGAGATAGCAGCAGCGGCAGCACCTCGAGCTATGCCACCCATCTTCACAAGGTGTTCATGTCGATCTGCTATAGAAAGGCCGAGCCAAGCGACAAGAGGCATGAGTTCTAATGCGCACTCATAGGCAGGCAATAAAGACTCGTGTCCGATGAGAGATGCAATAGTGATCCAATCTCTTGCAGCGTAGAAACGAGTGTTCGGAGGTCCAGTGGTGGACTGCGCGGACGCGGAGAAGTAGAATATGGCTCTTTTTGCATCTTCAGGATCACGTAGGTGAAGGAAACGCGACATGAATGCATTTCCAAAGTTTTTGAAATGGCCTGTCTGGTGAGGATGGCCCTTTGGAATGAGATTAACGGCTGCTTGCTGGTGAATAATTGCCCTATTGATATCGGCGATGTTTCCGAGTCGTTCAAACCGGATCTGTAGAGAGTTCCCGAGGCTGCCCAAATAGTCAGGTTTCTTCAGATGGTCATCTGGCGTGAGATTGACGGCTGATTGTAGTTGACCAATTGCATTATCAAGATCAGCTATTCTTCCGAGCTGTTCAAACCGGATCCGAAGAGAGCTCCCGAGGTTACTTAAAAAGCCAGGTTTCTTTGGATAGCCATCTGAAGTGAGATCCACAGCTACTTGTAGCTCCTTGATTGCATTATTCAGATCAGTGATATTTCTGAGTTGTCGAAACCGGGTCTGGAGACAGTATCCGAGGTTGTTCAAACGATCAGGTTTTTCGGGATCGTCATGGGGTATAAGATTAACGGCTGCCTGTTGATGAAGAATTGCATCATCAATATCAACAACCCGTCCAAATCGCTCAAACCGGGTTCGAAAAGAGTTCCCGAGGTTGCTCAAATAGGTGGGTTTGGTGGGATGGTCATCTGGGGTGAGATTGACAGCGGCTTGGTGGTAGGAGTTTGCGCTATCGATATCAGAGATATTCCCGAATCTTTCAAACCGGACCCAAAGAGAATTCCCGAGGCTGCTCAAATGACCTGCCTTGTCGCGGTGTCCGTCTGGAGTGTGGTCTATAGCTGCTTTGTAGAGGACAATGGTACGGTCAATATCAGCAACATTTCCAAATCTTTCAAATCTGGTCAGCAAAGAGTGCCCAAGGTTGCTCGAAAGACCAGGTTTCCCTGGGTGGCCATCGGGAATCTGGCCTACAGCTGCTTGTTGATGGATACATCAGGAAAATGGTAAGTGGGCTCTTAGGGCCGACTAGCACCTACTAGCAAAGGTCGCTAGTACGCGCTAGTCAGGCGCTAGGAGCTTCTAAGCGATGAGCTGGAGACACGACTTTTGACATTTAACCCCCAGGATATATTGAATTTGTCATATTGCTATCATATACATGCCATATATGCCTTTGGTTGCAGGTTACCGCATTCCATCTGCATGCTCGCACTCGAACCACAGAAATTTCCTAAGTCCCTTAGTGGCAGGTGACACACCAAACTTGGACCCAACCACTCCCGTCTCTCCTCACTCCATCTTTCTGGTTGGCCGTGCCCCCAATCGACCTTGGTAAGTGTTTTTCCCTTGTCTCTATTCTAATAACTTATGATACGTTACTTCATTTTTGCATTCTCCACCCTTCAACGTGGGTAGTGTTCTATTTCTCCCAGAGTAAGTTTTTATTCTAAGTCCCTATCCCATTCACTGACTTTGAAATTTTGTAATCAGCGACTTCGTTCCACCTCAATTCAAAACCCGGCTATAGGTGTGTTTCCATACTACAAGGATGGAATGGAACAAATACTAACGAGACGATATGTAGACAATGAAACCGAAACCATCGTGGCGTGAGGCCGTCATCTCTCCGACACCAACCACTCGACTCGAAGCCATATCAAACCCAAGATTTGCCGCCAACAGCAAGAACTTACTCCTCAATACACGGTCATTGGCTGTAGACAAGATCTAGTAAGTAATGGGACTTTGTATAGCATTAGTATAGTTATATGTATTTAATTTTGAATTCAATTCGTTTATTATGTGTCAATTATTAATTATTATTTAATATTTTGAGTAAATACAACTAGATGGCCTAGAAAGTCGTAGTGCTATATAGAACTTTATAAAGGGGGGGGGGGGGTAGCTAGGCAGCTAGCAGCTCTAGGACACCTACAAAGTTATATATAGCCGAACGACATTTTCCTGATGTAATCGCGCCATCAAGATCGACGACTTTTCCAAATCGTTCAAACCGAGTTTCAAGAGAGCTCCCAAGGTTGCTCAAGTGATTAGGTTTGTGTGGATGGCCATCTGGAGTGTGATCTACAGCCACTTGTTGATGGATAATTGCCTCATCGATATCGGCGACTTTTCCGAGTCGTTCAAATCGAGTTCGAAGGGAGATTCCGAGGTTGCTCAAATAGATTGGTTTGGAAAGGTGACCATCTGGAATGAGGTCAATTGCGGTGTGTTGGTGGGCGATTGCATCGTCGATATCAGCGACCTTTCCAAAACGCTCAAACCGAGTGGAAAGAGTGGCCCCAAGGCTGACCAAACGAGCAGACTTCTCGGGGTGATCGTTTGGGGTGAGATCGACAGCTGCTTGGTGGTGGATAATTGCAGCATCAATATCGCTCATCCTTCCAAATCTTTCAAACCGGATTCGGAGAGAGTCGCCAAGGTTGCCCAAGTAGCCAGGTTTGTAGAGGTGACCTTCTGGAATACAGTCGACGGCTGCTTGTTGGTGAGAAATCGCACTATCGAGATCGACGACATTTCCAGACTGTCCAAATCGGGTTCGGAGGGAGGTACCGAGGTTGTTCAAACGAATGTGCTTGTTGGGATGGCCATATGGGGTAAGTTGGATAGCTGCTTCTTGTTGGTCAATAGCGCTATCGAGATCAGCGGCGTCTCCAAACTGCTCGAAGCGCTTTATCAGAGAGCCACAGAGATTATTCAAATAACTTGGCTTGCCACCATCATCATCGGGTGTCACAGCAACCGCCACTTCAAGTTGGTCTACTGACTTGTTGATGTCCTCGGGCCGCCCAAGCCGTTCAAATCGGAAGCGTAGGCATACTCCTAGATTGCTTATGATATTGGGTAGCCCTGGGTAATCGTCTTCAACCATCTCAATGGCAGCTTCGAATTTTGAGATTGCGTGCTCCAGAGTTTCCAGTTTTCCATGCCTTTCAAAATCACGAAATGCAGCAAGTCCAACCGATACCATCCTTGAAACCATATCATTCTCTCTTGGTGCATTCCTTTGCTGAATCGTTGCTGTAATCATCTTTCGAAGATTCTCTCGGAAATCTTCAATATTCGAGATTTTCGTCCGGAGAACAATGTTGGGGTGGCCCTGATGTGATAGCAATGGTATTTCTGTCATATCAGCTCGTTAGAAATTTCAGATAAACATGGTTG